GGTCTTAACTCTGTCACTTTCGCTAATCTGATGCATATAGCCACATTATATGCGCAATGTTTTGCAATATACCACCCAAGTGAAAAATTGTTCAAAGAATTTATGGAATTAATAAGCAAAAAGTTAAAAATTTCGAAGTATAAATGACGACATTGCTTCAAGAAGGATGCAGCTCTAAAAATATACATTCTGAGAAAAACAAAAAAACGTTCTGAATTTTTGTTTTAATGGATATGCAATTTTTAGTTTTATCAAACAAAAGTACTTATAATATACACCAAAAATCTTGTAAAAAAATTAAACACAAAGCACATAATTCTGATTTGTTTAGCTTCTTGCCCCAGCGATGCAAAATTTCAAAAATAAAAAACTTTCTAGAATAATTTTTCAGTTTATTTATTACAATTTTTATAAAAATATAAAAAAACAAATCATTCTAGATTGAATGGTTTATTATAATATATATTTTTAGTAATATGATTATATTTATTCATTTTCAATTTTTGTAAAGGTAACTTAATGATATATTCTTAAATTTTAGTTAAAAGAATAATTAAAATTTAATGGAATAAAATCTGTAATTCTTGGATTTTTTTAATAAATTTTGAAATTTAATGATAAAATTTAGAATGGGCCCACAAACTTAATTTATGCAAAAAATTTAACTGCATCCTTCTTGCAAGCAAGGTCGACAAATACAAACACAACATTTAAATGATAGTTGAACGTGTATTTCTGAAATTAATATTTTCATGCAAATTTTTATATTCGCTGTATGTTAGTAATACTAAAAGAAGTACTTAAACTTTTAAATGTATTTATAATTTAATAAAAAACATAAAACAATAATTATTTGAGTTTTACTATATACATACATACATTAATTATATACAGGGTGTTTTTATATCCTCCATTACTTTATTCTGTGAACACAAAATTTCAGAAGAATTTAATTCTTGATACATTTATTTCGAGAATGGAAGTTAAATAATATCACTGAGAGAAAAGAATATTTTTAACAAACGTTGCAATTGTTTGAGCCTGATTTATGGCAAGCCGTTTTAGTTTTTATTACACATGGCTATCAAGTCCCATTTTAATTCGACTTGATTTCCATGAGACATTAGATAATTGAAATTATATGTATTTTCCTTAAGGGAAATTACATTTTAATTACAAATTATAAATAAAATTCCTTTTTTAATAAGCATTGAAATTTTGGGTACATCAAATTGAAAAGATTAGATGTAGAGGATGATTTACATTCGAAATTGTAATAAAAATACTAAAACATTTCATCTTTATTTGAAATAATAATAAAAATTATTTTTATGACAAATAGTAATTTTAATGCAAATTTCGTTAAGGAAAGTAGTTTTTATTATAATTAAGAATTTAAATGCATTTCCGTTAACGGAAATTCAATTTCCCTTAAGGGAAATATCATTTCTGTAAAGAGAAATAGCATTTCCGTTAAGGGAAATTGGCGCCATCTATGAGAGGACGGCTGAAGTTCAAATAGTTAATTTTATCAAAATTCTATAAAATGAAATTATTGCACTGTGATTTTACAAAAGATTTATTAGTAAAAAGAATTTTTTTGATTGTTACCTTTTTAATTTAAAAACCAACCGTTACACCTGTTCACATCCACCCACAAAATATCACCCACCAGTGTTGCCAGATGTAAAAACAAACAAATTATTGACAAAATTATCGAATTTTCAGAAAATTGTCACAAAATTTGTATTGATAATGCTATAATAATAGTAATATTAATAATTATGGGTACTACTCGAGAAAACCAAACTCTCCGAATCGAATCGCGATGACACCGCATGTGTAAGGTGTGTTTTAACGTTTCTAATAAAGGATATTAAAACGAAAAGAAGTAGTAAATAGCAAACTGTAGTAGTAATATTATTCATTATTGTTAATTGTGTCATATTTGTCAGGGCCGGCTTAAGGCAATTGAGCGCCTTAGGCACTTAAAAATTTGGCGCCTATTATTACATACTACACTTAAGGGGCCCTAGGCAAATAAATATAGTTACGTATTATATCACCTCCAACACTGAGAAAAAAGGTAAATTCGAACAAATGCATTTAATTATAATATTATTAAAGATGTACTAAAATAGTAAGTATTTAAAAAAATGTAAAACAACTTTAATTCCCTAAATTTCTTTGTAAGATGTAGGTTTACTAAATGTTTAATATTAACATTTCATAAATAGGTAGGTACCTACCTTAAAACATATAGCAAATTTACACTATCGAAGACAAACAGCTATCTAACTACTGATTAATTTCATCTGAAATAAATTTGTGTAGGGCATAAAAACAGAAGCGAATTTCTTTCGGAACGCGCTTCAGTGCGGCACACGCTTAAAGAGCGGCACGCCTTTGTCGGCTTGACACCGCGTTATTACAAAGGAAGCCGCATTTTTTAAAAATGATTATTTGGTACTCTACCGTACCTACTCATAATTGTATATTGTTTATTTGTTTCATATTTGTAAAACCATTTTTTAAATTTTTTAAGTTGGTTGGGGACAAGGCGCCTATTTCTTCTTGGCGCCTAAGGCAATTGCCTATACTGCCTAATGGTTAATATGGCCCTGATATTTGTTGCATTCAAACAAAATGAAAGATTCTGGAATCCCAACCAAAGTTGTCAGAACTCTGTAAGCGGTGGAACCTTCGGCATCTTCACCACAGATAGCGCCACTAATTTCTCTTAAGGGAAATAGCATTTCCGTTAAGGGAAATAACATTTTCGTTAAGGGAATTGTAATTTCCCTTAACGGAAATAGAAGTTTATTTTTGTTTAGTTAAAAATAAAAGTAATTCGAGCTATTTTTTGTACACATGATCATTAAGTCTCATTTTAATTCGATGTTATTTTCTGATTCTCTAAATATTGTTAGACTGTATGTATTGCGGTTCTAAATTTTATTCGGGAACAACATTTCAATGAGTATTTCAAATTAAAATATTTTTAATTTTTATGTCATTTAGGAAAGTATAAAACTATATCTTTAAGGACAAATGCATTTATATTCGTAATAGTAATTTTAATACGTTTTATTTTAATACTTAGCCTGGTCTAACATAAATAAAATGTAACATTGTATCCAAGTCAGAAGCTACTTTAATAAAATTGAATTAAAATAAAATCCTTTTAATGTGTCATTGCTCCAAAAAACTAAAACAGTAAAAATAATTTGCATTAAAATTATAATTAGTAAATTTAATACAATTTCCGTTAACGAAAATTGCTTTCACGTTAAGGACAATATTTAAAAAACCAATGGAAATAAATACAACAAATGCATTATTTTTACTATTTGTAAAGAAAATATGCATTCAATTTTGAAATTATAATAAAAATGTAATTTCCCTTAAGGAAAATACATATAATTTCAATTATCTAATGTCTCATAGAAATCAAGTCGAATTAAAATGAGACTTGATAGCCATGTGTAATAAAAACTAAAACGGCTTGCCATACTGATTGCTTTGAATCAAACAACTAAAATTTAATTCAAAATTAGTGTTTTTGCTTAGAATGGGTGAACTGCGTTGCCAGAAATGGATGATTCGTTTAGGCTGTTGTGTTTGCTTGGAATATTATTAAGTTCTATGCAAACTTTGTACTGATAGTCAATAATATTAGGTTTTTTACGTTTGAATTAAATTTAGGTGGGTTTTCATAAAACGTGCAATATTTTTCACTAAAATTTATTAATGGGTTAACTGAAATAGATAAAATTTATAACAAATCTGCTACAATTTTTGCGAAAACCTCAAACAACAACAAATATAATAAGTTTGTGGCAAACATATCAAAGTTAATGGGCAATTGTGCTTAGTTTGGAAAGCGCAATTTTTGGAGTGGGGGAACGCCTCTTGAAACGCGTCTTTTCGTGCACTTACAGTGTCTTATAAAGTTTTAAATTTGCCTCCACTGTATACATACGGTTCTTACAAAATAATTTTGCTTCCATGAAAACATTTGGATGAAATGGCATAACGTTTAAGAATATTGTATAAATAGTCGGCCTTATCACGAAGTGGCCTAAACCAGAAAATTGAAAACAGTGACATTTTGAGAGAGTTAACTTACGATGGACTATTCTGTTACTCCACGAGGTGGCCCATAGTAGAAAGTATGAACTGTAAAAATACATAGGCCATTTCGTGAGAATAGAATAGACCATCGTAAGTTAATCTGCGAAAAATCTCATTTTGTTTTTCAATTTTGTGGGTTAGGCGACTTCGTGATAAGGCCGACTATTTATAGAATATTCTTAAGCATTATGGCGTTTCATCCAAAGAAACCGTAATTTCTTCAGAAATGTAGGTACGTTTAATGGAAATGAACTTTATTGGTAACAAGCAGATACCAATTTTTCCCAAAGTTACTTGCCAAGAAATTCAAAATTAGTAAGTTTGAGTCAAACTTACATCGATTTATACAAAATCGACTATACTGGTAGCAAGCAATTACCAATTTATCAGAAAAGTATTTAACAAAGAATTCAAACTCAGCAAATTTGACACAAATCTAAATGCGTTTCGTTCAAAAGCAGTTTTCCGGAAGCTCCAAAGTGATGGGGTTTTACCATTAAACCTTGGTACATTCCGCCGTATTTAAATATGTTATATGTTTGAACCAAACGTTATGCCTTTCGCTGAAATAAAACCTCCTCTCAGTGTACTTAAACTTTTAAATGTATTTATAATTTAATAAAAAACATAAAACAATAATTATTTGAGTTTTACTATATATATACATACATACATTACGTACATTAATTATATACAGGGTGTTTTTATATCCTCCATTACTTTATTCTGTGAACACAAATTCTTGATACATTTATTTCGAGAATGGAAGTTAAATAATATCACTCTGTACATTTACATGGCCGATTTTACAAATTTTAATAAATTAAATCTAAAGACTAGTAACCAAATTTTAGTTTGGTTTGGTTTACACATCATTCCTTAGGTTTTTTATCATGTTATCCTTATGAATAATAATATAAATACTAGAAGGGCTCCTACGAATTTGTTCTGAGTTGATGCACCTGGAACAAAAGCTTGGATATAATTAATTAATTTTTAATTGTTCTGTTGTTAATTAATATAAATACGCTAAAGAAGCAACGGGTTTTTGAAACGCGCGCGCCCTCTGGTGGCTGTTAAGAGGTCCTCCATCGAATCTGAAGTTTTGCCGCTTAAATAACACAGAAAACTGACTTTTTTACCTTATTTATTCTTGCAACCTAGGAAGAATTTTTTTTTTCATAAAATCCATGACTAATTCTTACAAAGCATTAAATTTGGACAAAAAAATCTTATTAAGCCGAATTTATATTTTCATTATTTAATTTTTTACAGAGCTTTAAATTTAAAATTTTACGTTTGTTGCCTTTTTCAGCTAATATAAACTATTGAAGTTAGACGAAAAAGTCGAATGGCAATTTTTTAGCTTGTCTGATGGACCACAAAAAAGTTTTAGGCGAATTTTTGTATCGTCAATATTCTAAAAGTTACAGGCGTATAAAGTCATCATTTTTGTATTATTAACTTTAAATTTAAAGCTCTGTAAAAAATCAAATAATGAAAATAGAAATTCGGTTTAATAAGATTTTTTTGTCCAAATTTAATGCTTTGTAAGAATTAGTCATGGATTTTATAAAAAAAAAATTCTTCCTAGGTTGCAAGAATAAATAAGGTAAAAAAGTCAGTTTTCTGTGTTATAAATAAATTTAAGCGGCAAAACTTCAGATTCGATGGAGGACCTCTTAAAATTGAAATTATGAGCTCCGCTTTTAACAGAATATTTGTTCGGACATATTCTACGATATTTTGGGTGGAGAGCAAAAAAAAAAATTATCGAGTTTTTTTGGCACACCCTAATATACATTGTATATTCAATTTGAAATCCTCATATTGTTGCCCTTTTGTCCCTCCATTTCATTTTCTTTTATGTTTAATAGTACCTACCTATTAATTACACAAATATTTTTTAAACACAGTTTTGGTTTTATTTTATAATCCTTATTTTTCATTAAATAGTAATTTTTTTTAATTATCTAGGTATTATTTTAAAAAGTAAACATTTATTTATTCACTCAAGTTCATTGTTATTTTACAATGAAACCAAAAAAAGTTATAAATCAATTGATTTCAGGCATTCAGCTTTTCAATCAGACAAAAAAACAGCAAAGATATTTGATAATACTTACAAACAAAAATACTGTCTATTTTTATCCATATTTTATCAGTCGTTAACGACTGATATAAATTATATCAACCGATTTAAATTTTAGCTGATTTTATTGGCCAAAAAAAAATCTAGTAAACCATGACTTATATTAGCGAAATTATTTTTAATGGTTAAAAGCAAATGTCACAAATGTCAAATAAATCTTTATGACATTTTAATTGTTTTATGTTTAATATTTAAAATGTCAATGTATAGAAATCGACTTTTTTAAGGAAAATTTAAACGTTGAAAGATAATTACCCAATTTATTTTACCTATAAAACAACAGTTTTTAAAGAAAATTACTACGTTGTCATGTCGTGCAAAAACCTAGGTTAGCTATATCCACTGTATGCTAAATCATATATATATATATATATATAAACAAATCAATGTTTCTACATGCACCGATAAAATAGTTTGTTCATTACAAACATGGGTCTTAGTTTCTATATTATGTATTTGCCACAACTTACGCATATTGGTTAGAAATAAGAACATTTTTCTGTGACAATATTGGTCAATTAGTTGTTACTTTGCCATTAATTTAAATGAAATTAAGTTGTAAACAACTTATCATATTAAATATAAGATTATTAAAATATATCATTTTGACACAAAGAAATCAGTTTTTACCAAATATTTAAACAAGTGTATGAAATACATGCAGTACATAATTTTACGCAGATAAAAATGCAGTGTGTGTTGAGTGAACTATTAATGGTGAGTACTTATTTATTTAAATGTCACTTGTCCATATAATTTTAAGAAAAGTAGGAAGGCCCCCTGTATCTATATAAAAATTGGCAAAAAGGACAAAATATCTTGTGTAACCATCGAAAAATAATGCCACAATTTTTATTAACTATAACTAATCGTGTAATTAATTATCCCATTTATAATAAAATGATATTTAAGTAAATTTCATTCAATTACAGAAGGACATTTATTGACTTTTGTTACCTTTTTATATTTTATGTATAGGTTGGTACATGATTACTGAAGTATGAGATAACTTTTTGAATATTTTTTGTTTAAAATGAGTTAGGTAGTTAAGATTTTGTTTTGTATTCTTGTTTTATTTTTTTGGTTAAAAATATTTTTATATGTATACATAATATTATTATACTCTATATTATACTCTGTATTTTGTTATAAATATTATAAAATAAAATTGTTTTATTGAATTTATTTAGATTTTCAATAACCAGCCTCTCCTGCATTTACATAATTTTATTGTAAATAAAGGGCTTATTCCTGACAATGAAATTTTCGTTTTGGGCAAATTAATTCTGTCGTGATAACAAGTTGCTTTTTTGTGACGAAATTATTGTTGTGTTGCAATAAAGCACATGCGTTTATCCCAAATAGGTGCATGTTTAATACAAAGAAATGAAAAATTTATTAAAAATAAATATTTAGTTGCAAGAACATAATCTGCTATTTGTAAAGAAATGTATGCATTTACGTCAAATTAATATAAGTTTGTTCGAAACCAACTTTACCAAACTAAGTAATTACTTGCCGTAAGTCTATATTTGTTGCGCAATATACAACCACAGGATTAGTTTACCTAAAATCAATTTCGTTTTTCTCAAACAAATTGTTTTTTCGGTGTGCGGCTCTTAGTGTTTTAAGTATTTTGAGGACTTAATTGAAGAATTTTTATTTAACGGGAATTAAAAGGAAACCGTTTGTGTAGGTATCTGATTACCTGCTCAATATAAAAATACAGACATTTTGTTTTAAAATTATTTTGTTCAATTTATGCTAAGCGGTGCTTAGTTAATTCTGTACCTATGTACTTTAGGACCCAAATAAAAAATTTGCGGATTACGGTACTGAATATTTTCTAAATCTGTGTTTTTAGGAAAATTTAAATTTACAAATGTCAGGGTAAAAAAAAATCACCAGAAATAAGGCTTTTAAAAAAGTTTTCACCTAATCACCAAATGAATTAAAAATCAACAAATCTGGTGAATTTACACAGACCTGACAACTTGTTTGGTTACTATGATGTTGGCGCCACCAGCTATGCTTCTTTAGCGTATATTAGGCTAAAATTTTAAATTTTCATTGGGGGCTAAAAAAATATATCTTCAGTGGTTTGTTTGGTACTTACTTGTACACGAATAACCATCTTCGCTTTGGAACAAATTTTCTTTGCATTTGCATGTTTTGTTCGAACAAAATGCGTCAAATATACAGTGGTCGTCATACTGACATGGTTGATCTATCACTAAAAAAAATAATTACTTTGAAATAAAATACGAGAACAAACTTTTTCATTTTTATATCTTAATTGGTCGAAACAAATAAATTAAACAAATGCAAAATAGCACATCCGCTTAATAATTAAAACATTCCTCATTATAACGCTTAGTAAACATTTTATAATCATCCATTGTTTGTTTGATACACATTAGATGAAACCAAGCGAGTTCCAAAAAAAAAAATTCGTGATTATAATTAATCATTTGCTTGTGATTTGTCATCCGCCATATAAATGATTTATTGTTTGGACAATGCACAAACGATTTTTTTTTTTTTGAATTTTTTTGACACTAAATATTTTGAGTGATGTACGAGGGTTACTATTTATTTTTTAGTAAAACATTTTCACAAAATCTTAGATAATGCAACAATTTTTTTGGTGATTTTATTATTACGAACAATTATGTTGTGGGATTTTTCAGAAAATATAAATATGTTAATAAATTACATCCATTAATTTTATGGTTATACAAAACATAAATATTTAATTAATTAAATCCAGGGGCGTACTTTTCCGAGGTTTCGATTTTAAGTATTTTAATATTTTTAATTAATGGGAAAGAAATTTGAGGATTTAAAAAAAATATCTAAAAATTTACTCCCCTATTGAGACTTTCGCTACGTCCCTGATATATTTATATTTTCTGAAGAATCCCATGCACAAATAGCATTACTCATGTTTTCGCAATTAAAACGTATTATGTTTCATAGATAAAAACTTATGTGCTTAGGTAAGTAATCAAGAAAAATATGTTAAATACATTTGCGGAATTTCCAGTATTAGCATAAAAAATAAATGAAATTAGATAAAATGTTTAAAAAAATATAAGTAACTTTAAACATTAAAAATTAGCATAAAACAAATATTATATTTATTTATTTTGTGTGCAGATACGTTAGATTTAAATACCTTCATTGAAATTCGAACTTTATTTTACACAAATTAATAACATTATGTATTGGCGATAATTAATTTGCAGCTACAACTTAATTATGACCTTGAAATTTGTACTCGTAATAACTATTTTTAAAACTATTACCTACCAATAGTTTTATACACCTGTATATGTATTACAAATTTAAAAAGTTTAAAAAATTTGTCCGATTCTGAAAGTATTTTCGGTTTCTACATTTAAAATCATGAATTATAGCGTTTACAGAATGTTTCAATTTAAAGTTTTAGTAATTCTGGATCCCGAAATATTGTAAAATAATAAATAATTAGTACATAAAAGATAATTATTGGTTTTGTATATTGTTTTATAAAATAATAACAATCAAATAAAGAAAAAAATAATTAAATAAAAAAATAATGAGAACAATAAAATGCATTTTTTTTTTTAATTGAACCTTTTTCTGGATTTAATATGTTGTAGAGCAATTTCTTAGTTCTTTCGCTTCTATCATAATAATAATTATGGTAATTATTATTATTATATTAATTATTAAAAACATATTCTTTTTAACAAATAGTATGAATCAACATAAAAGATATAACAAATTTTATTTATAATTTTATGCCAATAGACCAACAAAAATCTGCCAACATTGAATCAAACCTCTTTCCTCTATAACGATTTTCCATTTCCATTATTATTTGATGCTCTTCTGATTCGGTGGACAGCTTATTTTCGAACAGGTCAAGATGTGCATGGAGCAAATGTACTTTTAGTGACATGTTTACACCCATTTTTAATTTTTGTTTTATTTTTTATTATTTCTTTTTAATTTATTGTTATGACAACAATTTCCTACCAGTTAATTGGTTTAAATTAATAAATAACGGTTTTTTCTGGTTCCAAAATTAATAAAATTAAAAATCGATATTAAAGAAAACCTGAATCAATCTAAACATTCTGTAAACGCAAAAAAGGCATTCTTTGGATAGAAGAAACGAGAACCACATCATTTTTTTGCTGTTGCACTGTGTTATTCTAAGGAGGCATTAATTAATTAATTACTTATATGTATAATTAATAATATTAATTTTGACCCACCATCCCCTTGTGAGATTTGGTGATATGTGGTAGACCCACCCTATCCCTCACGTGAGATTCTAGCCATTAATCATGATAAATCCAAAAAGTAAAAAAAAAATTGTTTAATTTTAACTATAAGTAATACATAATCTGTAAACTGGAAAAGTTGACGTGAGATTTTTGGATTTTTTTAAGACTCTTAAATTAAGCCTATACAGGGTGCAATAGTAAGAAGAAGTTTTTTCCTCGAAATCGGTTAATCCTGGTACCATGGTATCCCCTGAATCCGAAAACACCGTCAAAAATTATGAAAGTATAGCAGTTTTTAAGATATAGTCAATTCCATGGAAAAATGACTCAAAAACTTCTAATTTTATAACTTTTGACATTTTCCGATTCAGGGGACCATTTTAAATTGACTGCTAATGCTAGGGATACAAATTGCTATTGACGAGAATAAATAGTGGCAATGCAATGGCAATTAATCATTTTTGACTAATTCTTTTTAAGAGAGTAGTATGATTTTAATTGACATCCTCTGTTATTGCTGAGGTTCCCCACAGGGTGTCACAAATTTCAGGAAAAAACTTCTTTTTACTTTTGCACCCTTTATATGCTTAAATAAAAGTGTCTAATATAGCATCGGTAGAATTAACGTACATTTAAAAAAAATCATCAAAATTAGAAAAAATCAACAACTTTTAATATATAATATATAATAGGGTGGAGCGAAAAAAAAAATTATTTTCTTTAGCCTGGGGGGTGGAATTTGTAGCCTATAAAAAAAGAAAATTTTTGAAAAAAAAGAAATTACTCAACGTCTTGAGGTGGCCCACTGATTTTTTAAATTAAATTTAAGTTAAAAACGAGTGGTCGTAAAATTTTTTTTCAAAAGTGTTCCGGAAACTGCGGAGTGTCCTCTTTCTTGCTAATTAACAGTTATGAACTTAAAAAAATTTTTGTGGTCATTATTGTTGTTTTTAAAAAAATTCCAAAATAGTAACATGCTTTTCTGAGGCAATAGAGCGAATTTCGAGTTGAACACGATCAAATTTGTTTATTTTTAGATAAATTTGAAGATTACAAGCCAAAAAAAATTTTTTTTATTCAAAATAATTTTAACTTAAATTTCATTTAAAAAATCAGTGGGCCACCTCAAGACGTTTTCGCTCCACCCTAATATATAATATATAATATATAATATATAATATATAAATATATAATATATAATATATAATATATAATATATAATATATAATATATAATATATAATATATAATATATAATATATAATATATAATATATAATATATAATATATAATATATAATATATAATATATAATATATAATATATAATATATAATATATAATATATAATATATAATATATAATATATAATATATAATATATAATATATAATATATAATATACATGTATATATGTATAATATATAATATATAATATATATTGCCCCGATTTTTGTTGGTAGATCTTCTGAAACACCCGGTATGTATTACGGAAGTTCCATGTTATTAAAATGACGTTTAATCATGTAAGCGGATGTCGATAAGAATTTTGTTACAATGGGACATAAGATATGGTCGAATAAAGAACTTCAAAATATGAAATAATTTCTCTCAATTTAATTAATTAATGCAATGTTTGTTTTACCTTTAAAATAAACTAATAAGCAAGATAAATAAAGTATAAAGATGACATTAAATTATATTAGTATATATAGGTATAGGTGGGGGTAGAAAAAGTTATTATTATATTTTACTAAATCTACGTAATTTTCATCTTATATCGAAAAAGTTTATATTTGTAATTAGTTTATTTTGATAACTCACCTCCAACGCATTTCTCAATAAACTTATCTGGCACATAAAATTTCCTAACAACATATCCCTGGTAACACTGACAAGTCCTATTTTTTGCGCATACATACGCATTTTGCCTACAATGTGTGTATAGTTGACAGGGTTCGTTTAGCTCACCTGAACCTGCAAAAAATACATGTAATTAAGACAGTGGTCGGCGATTCGATTATGTTTAGCAGGCCAAAATACATGACAAAAAGATTTAAATTGTTGCGAGATTTCCACAAACTACTTTTACAATACGATAAAACTTAAAAATAAATACTTACGATGTTCTTGTGCATATCCAGCAGATACAGCAGAAAACGCGACGTTAAAAAACAGCACACAACAAACGAGTTTCTTCATCACTAAAGGTTGGCAAACTTCTTTAGCCTCTCGTAGACATAACGGAACATCATATACAGCAAAAACTAGTCGATGTTTGGTCGATATTCTTTACAGGTGAAAATTTTAACAATAACAATTAATAACTGGAAAATCCATTACTAAAATTAAAACAGACCTACTTGAATAATGAGCAGTATGCGTATGTGAAGTTTTAAACTATACCTATAGCAGTTTGTATATACGAGGTGGTAAAGTAAATATTGATTGATTATATCTCCCCTTACTTAATTCAAACTAATTTTGGTTTGGGAATAATTCAGTACCCTAATGCATATAATTTTATATATGTAGAATACCAAGAAAATAATATATAAATTAATAAAATGTCATACCTGTTCTCAGCACAAAGCAATCTTATTAACAATAACAATTATGAAAAATTCTTAACCCATATTAAATGCTAATGATATACTAAAATATTCATGCACATTTCATATAAAAACCATCGTTTCGTCACAGGATGTTCTGAATAATTCGTGCCACATGTAGTAAATAATGACATCACTTTATTTAAAAGAAACAACAATTTTGAATTATATTGAAATAAATATATATATAAACACACTGTATATATTATTACGTAAATGAGCATTCCTCAAGATAAAATCTTTCGACTTTCTTAGTTCAACATTCTCTTCATATTTTAAGAGTACAAAGGTCACCGGCGCTTGTTTGAAAACTCACCCTGTATACTGTATACTGTAATAACCGTGGAATGAGGTGAACAAAGAGCGCACTGTATTCCAAAACCAGGTGATAATTAAACTAAATTCATACGGCGATTCCCACCACATAGGTATAATGCGTTTTCTCCAATGCACAGTGCTGTACACGGTGGTCAAAACTTAAGAATAGGACGAACAAAAATGCCAACCAAAACTGATAGCATATTTTGATTATAGACCCTTTTGGTAACACTTCCATGTATTTATCAAAATCCCAGCTGATCTTATTTTAAAGTTTTGCAAACTTTTTTGTTTTTCTATTTCTATATTTTATTTTGCAATTATTGTACTAAAACTACCTGTACAATTTTAATAAAATTAAGCAAAATAATAAACTTTGTATCATTTAAATTACTTTACTCCCCAGTATTAATTTATTGAGTCACCTATTATTTTTTACCACTCAAAACAAAACATAACAAAAAAAAAACGAAGATTTATATCTTAAATATTTTTTATAACAAAAAATACTGGAAGTTATGAAATAATTACAACTTGCAAATTTTGTAAAACAATAATTAAGGTGGTTATGAAAAAAATTGCTATACGTTATAACGCAAGTGACATTTTGCTTTAGTTGTATACTCTATAAAGTTAAAAATAGTATTTTAAAATGAAAATTAAACCGAAATTCAAGTTAAGCCATGAAGAAAATCGAAAAAAGGTATGTGCTGGCTGTGGAGACAAAATTGTTTTTGGTAATCGAAAAATTCAGAGTTTAGGGTTTCTGAGAAAATATAAAAATTACTGCAGACTTTTTCAAACGAACACTTTAACTTAAGTGATTCAAAATTACCTACTTCAATATGGTAATAACGGTATTTTTGCATAGCCACAATTGCCAAATTTTCAAAATTTAGAAATTGCCAGAGAATTTCGCGGCAGCCAAGAATGTATGTGCTTTATCTGCAAAATGGCAATTATTAAGGGCATAAAAAATTATTAAGGGAAGAGGACGGACGAACGAACGAAGTTTTGATATGCTCTTCCTTTTTAGGGGATATCGCTAGATGTAAGAAGCATGTTTGTACTGACTGAAGAATTTAAAAATACGGTTTCCATGTTAAAAACAATTCCATGTAAAACCCAAGAAAAAGTTTTACTGAAAATTTAAGGCAAGCAGTAATTCGATTTTGCTTCAAAGAATCTTTAGTTATTTATTAATTTTGTATTGGATACCTTAAAACAATAAATTAGATATTGCAAACTGTATTTTACATTATTTTGTATTTATAATGTAACTTATCCATATTTCAGTCATGTATCTGCCAAATTTTTAAAAACATTTGATAATGTTACTAGAGTATTTTATCGAAATGACATAAACATTTTTAAAATACTAAGAAATATGCAAAACTTTAATAAAGGATCAGCTGGGATTTTGATAAATACATTTTTGTGTTACCAAAAGAGTCTATAATCAGATTATACTATCAGTTTTGGTTGGCATTTTTGTTCGTCCTATACTTTAGTTTTGACCACCGTGTGTAGGTACACCTATATATATATATATATAATTTATATATATATATATATATATAAATATATATATATGTACAGTTGACGACATCCCAATGTGAACGATTTTTTTGTGTCATGGAATTTAAAAAAAAATAATAACAGTAACGCTTTTTTATTTACAAATTAAATGAACAGGAACAAAGTTGGAAGAAAATTGGTCCTTGAGTAAAGTACACAGTAAAAAAATATTTGTTAATTTTAACCAGATTTTATGTTAATCCAGGTCCACATAACTTTAAGTTAAGTTTACAACCAAATGTAATCTGTTAATTACGAGGTGTGTTCAGAAAATAACGGGAATTGTTAAATTTCGCGGGGTCGGAGGGTCCGGTTGTCATAAAATTTTCTTTATTATGTTGGTATACATGCCCCCGAAGTATGATAAAAACTTTAGCTGTTTTCATTGTTTACTTTGTCTGTGGCAGCCGCTCAAGTTAGACGTGTTTTATGAGCTCGGCGATTTGTCGTTCGTTAAAAGAAATGGATCAAAGAATTTGTATCCAATTTTGCTTAAAAAATAAAATAAATTCTGTGAAATGTTAACAAAGGCCTATAGTGAGTCTGCTATAAGTAAAACAAGAGTTTACAAGTGGTATAAGAGTTTCCAAGATGGCCGTGAAGACGTTGAAGATGACGAATGCCCCGAACGTACAAGCACATTAACAACCGATAAAAACATGGAAAAAGTGGAAGAAATGGTTATAAACCATCAGAGAAGTCGTTGATGATGTTGGTATATCGATTGGCTCATCCCATGAAGTTTTTTAGAATGTTTTGGGTATGAAACGCGTGGCAGCAAAATTTGTTCTAAAGTTATTAAATTTTGAACATATTGGAAGAAGAGCTGGCACATGTGCATAATATACAATGGGGACTATTTTGAAGGCAACAACAATAATGTAGACGAATAAATAAATATTTGTTTCAAAAAACAAAAATTCCTGATATTTTCTGAACACACCTCGTACACAGTTAAAAATTTATAAAATTTGTGTTAAAAATAATACATGTTAAATATAAAATGTAAAAACTTACATAAACTTCCTAGTGTTTATAACATAAATGATATATGTACATTGTATATATGATACAAAAATTATAATATTTAAAATCTTAAAATTTCACAAGATTTAACAAACATTAATGTGTTAAAAGGTCCTACACAAATAAGAATGTTAAATAATAATTTTTTTGTACATTGTAGTATAATAATATAGTTAATGTTACGAGAAAATTATGTTAATTTCAATATAATACATTAGTTTAAATAACTCCTAAACAAGTGTTAATCTAACTCAAAAATATTGGTTACAGAAAATTTTTAACCAAATTAAAACAATTGAGTATTTTTTTATTCAATTTAACTTAATATACCTAAATGTTATTTTTCTATTTTGCTAATTTTCGCCTTATTTCGATTAAAATCTTTACCCTGCAAGGCCCTTTGTCTTCTAACCGCGTTTAGTCGGTTGATGATAGTTAATTCGATTAGAGGTTCCTATAGGAAAATTATAATTTTAAGGTTAAGTGTGGTTTTATATAACGTGTGTTTAGAAAATTTAAAGGTAAGTTTGCTATGATAATGTTTTTTACTTACATAACGTTTGTATCCCCAGAAATATTTGATTTTTACCATATGGCATGGATTTGTATTTTTTAAATTATGTTGTAATATAATAAATCATTCACTGATACTATTTCATGTTTTCTTGTTTTTCGACGCCCCTGTATAATATTTTCAAATTTAAAATAGAGCATGCTGTAGACTTATTAAAACAAGCAGAACTTTTGATGAAGAATGACTTTTGGTCGAAAAATTTTAGTCCATTTGTCCTCTTGGGCCCTCTATCCGAGGACATACTGTATATGCCGTTGTTTTAAAGATTTTACTTTTTTTTATAAATATATAAAAAGGATAGTTTGTTTGTTTAAACTTTATTTACGTTTACTTTAAAATAAGAATATTTGAATTTTTAATAATAGTTTTATAAAAACATGCAAAAAAGTATATATACTATAGTAATTGGACATTTTATATAGTAATTGGACACATGTGCCATAGTTATTTATTTAAACATAACAACTTTACATCAAATAACATAAATTGTTAAATATTATTTAAAGATAAATTGCTGTTTTAGGTAATTTTTTTTTTATTTCGTTTTTGTAATTCATAAATTTCATCCCTTTTCTGGATTCTGAAGGTAACTACTAGTTCCTTGGTCTGACTTCTGAAATAGTTTGTTGCAAATATCATTAAGTGTGGTATCTCTAGTTTGTGAAGCATTTATAATGTTTAGGCCGGAACAGGATGATTTATATACATATCTAATATTTTTTCGGGTGGTATGTTAAAAGTATTTTTCGAATTTATTAATTTTGTTGCCATAAGTTTTTTATGTTAACTTTATTACTTACTTTCTAAAAATGAATTAGTTAAAAATGTCATAGCGAAAAAGCAGCCACTAATAATTCTCGTCAACAGCAATTTTTATCCAGGACATTTAGCAGTCAATTCCTATGAAATATTATTCGCTGAATCCGAAAATATCGTCAAAAGTTATAAAAGTAGAACAGTTTTTGAAATATAATCAATTATATATATAATATGGAATTGACTATATCTCAAAAACCGCTTAACTTTAATAGTTTTTGACAGTCTTTTCGTATTCACGGGACAATTTTACATAAGAATTGGCTGGTAAATGTCCGGGATATAAATAGAGTATGATATTGGACATAATATGTCCAATAATATAAATTTACATTTTTTACCAACCAGTATTTGGACACTGGCCATTTTACAGTTTGTTTTTAGAATTAAAATTAAAACGCATTAAAGTGACAATGTTTAAAGCATGAGGGACACATTTTTACCACACACTTTTTAGAAATATTTATAATTGTAATTTAAACACAGCCCTGCTCTTAACAAAAAAAAAAACAAAAATCTTAACACCAAAGTAACATGCCTGTGGGTAAAAGGCATAAGGGGATAAGTCAAAAAAAGCAATTTTTCAGTAGAACCTTAAACGTATTCGCATTAATTCAGGAAACATATTTATGGTTAGCGGGTATACCCTTTTGTTAGCCCATGTCATATGCTAACAAAAGAGTATACCCGCTAAACATAAATATATTTCCTGAATTAATGCGAACACGTTAAAGGCTCTATTAAAAAATTGCTTTTTTTGACTTATCCCCTTATGCCTTTTACCCACAGATGCGAACTTTTTTGTTCTATATTGGACCCAAAACTAAGTAGTTCTATATTATTACCGACTGAGATAGTTATAATTGCATACAGCGTCATCTAATGATTTGACTTTAAGGTAACTATTTATAGAACTCTTGTTTTTACTATAACTGTCTACTATGCCTGTAGAAATATTGTTTTAGTCATTTGCTACCTTTTTGATAATATTCTTAATATATTATTTTTTTTGCATATTTTATTTATATATAAATAAAATATGCAAAAAAAAATTTTTTTTTAAGATTGCTTTTACCACTGTGCAATATACCTTCAGGTAAACGAAAACAGCATACGTAGCTGTAAGTTGTTCAAGGTAAACTATTTGTAAGCGATTCAATCAATAAATAAGAACGAAATGAATCTGTTTTACCTTAACGTTTTTATAAATAAATATACGCATTTTTAAGGTTGTTTACATATTATGTTGAAACCCTTTAAGCATTGATTAATACTCCTTCACTCAACGCTTTAAGTTTGCAACACACCTGCAGGGCATTTAATTAATGGGCCATTGTGTAAATTAGTAACATTTTAAAAATAGAAAGAATGCCTTGAATTTTAATGTTTTTGATTGTTTAAATACATATTTACGAAGTGTTTAACCGCGTAAATTATAATAATTATTAAAATAAAGAACAATAAAAAACTTATATAGTTTTCGGAGAAAATTAAACAGTATTTTGTTATGAGAACATAGATAACAAAAAAATATACTGTTCCAGACCTGGCCAGTTACTTTCTCAAACAGTTTCTGAAATTTCTGTGTTTTCTAAATTTGAATGCAAGGGAAGTGACGAGTATACCAGGGTACTAAATAAATACATAATTTATTGGAAAATATAAGATTTATTGCAACTTTGAGCATATTATACATTAAATATCTTAAAATCAAATAATACCACACATCAGTGGCGGCTGGTGGATTTTGGGTATACCGATATCTAAATTATTAGATATGGGATCCCCACCAAATTTATGAGTTTATAATGACATTAAATAAACAAGTTTAGCGCAAGCAGCATTTAAATTGAAAAAAGATAACCGAAACATCGAACATGGAACTGACGACACAGTACTGATGAATGGGATACACATTTGAGATTATAATTCGGAATTAAGTATTTTACTGATATTTTTTATTAGTGGATGCTACTTATCAACAAATCACATATAGCCTAATATAAATTACAATGAAATATATATACGTAAGAAAATATCTACTTATCACAGCACTGAAATTTTGACAGGAACTATACGTGCATTTAACACAAATTCGCCGCTTGCATTGATTTCAAGATAACTGTCGTGCAAAGGGCGGGCTCTGTAGGTAATTTTTTACCAACACTTGAGTTAAAACGAGGACTTGACGTTTAAACTTCAATATTTCGCAGGAATTTTGAATTTTAACATTGGACACAGAACTGACGGATAAAAGTGAGTATGTACTATGCTCCACACCTCAAAGTCCCACCACGTGACCACGTACGGAACGCAGTCTTTTGAAAATTTGGCATTTAAGGCTTTTCAGGTTATGTATCTGTCAAAGTATAGTCAACAAAAGAAATAATATTATGTTTAGGCGTTAAAAATGTTTAAATCCTTATAACATTACAATAACAATGGATGGTTTAAGAATTTAAGAATATAAATAATGCATTTAATAAAATTGTGTATGGTGCCAAATTCACAAAAATATTACTTATTTAAATAAGTAATATTTTTGTGCATTTGGTCCAAATATCTGGTTTTCTCCATAAAATAATTTTAACTAAACAGCATTTATTAAAAAAAATCTAGCTTCTCCATTATGGAATAAGAATATCTGTTTTAAAGGTAGGTTAATATATTATAACAAAAATATCATCTAATTTTGTAATTTTAAGGTTAGAAAAAATTATTTTGACCAAAATAAATAAGTATTTTGGATTATTAAAAGACTGTATAATATGGTATTTAAAAATGTGGTAGTTTTTCTTATCCAGCTTAAAGTTTACCTACATAAAGTTTTGTCAATATAAATAGTTCAAAAGCTTCGACTGAACTTGATCTACATCGAAAAATCATTATAACTTTAAAAATTTTAATAAATCATATGTCATGGGAGTATTAAATATTTTCACATTGCAAGTTTCTCTAAAAATTGTTTGTTTTCTTATAATCTAACTTAAAGTAGGTATGCCGAGAGGTATGCACAAGTTTTGTCATTAGAAGTATAAAAGCTTCAATTTAATTTGAACCATATTCAACAATTATTTAGTATACCTATATTTATTTATGACCATATTAACACACTCTTCCAAATAATCCACTTATTTATTTTGGTCAAAATAGATTTTTTTAACCTTAAAATACAAAATTAGATGATATTTTTTGTTCTAATACATTAACCTACCTTTGATACAGATATTCTTATTTCATAATAGGGAAGTTAGATTTTTTTTAATAAATGCTGTTTAGTTAAAACTATTTTATGGAGAAATGTAGACCCAATGCACAAAAATATCGCTTATATTGCACCTTATACTTTTGAATTTCATTAAATGCAGTATTTATATTCCTAAATTTTTAAACCAACCATTGTTATTGTGATACTATAAAGATTTATTAACTTTTAACGCTTAAACATAAGCGGTAATACTATAAATATTATTTCTTTCATTGACTATACTTTGACAGATACATAACCTATAAAGCCTTGAATGCCAAATTTTCAAAAGACTGCGTTCCGTACGTGGTCACGTGGTGGGACTTTGAGGTGTGGAGCATAGTACAAAGATTATCAATTTTTTTGCTATTTGAATCTATGATAAAATATGAAAAATACATTATTTAATGTTTTATAGTTTATAGTGAAATTTATAAATTTAAGATAAATTGAATATATTTTAAAATAAAATCACTCAAATATTTGATTCAGGAGTTGTGACACGCCAAGGTACTGATGTTTTGAATATTAATTATGTTTTTCTACAAACGTGCTTTTGAAAAAATACATTAAAATTGGGTGGACAAGTTAAAAAAACCTGGATCTTTTGTAATATATACATATATTAAAAAATAAATAACAAAAAAATCTTCAAACGTTCCTCCATTTACTTTTTATCAAATCTGCAGCCTTTTCCCCAATCATCATTATCACAGCATTGGTATGCCCAGCTACGATATTGGGCATTACAGACCCATCGACAACTCTCAGGCCTCCAATACCGTGAACTTTTAACTCCGCATCCACGACGGCTCTTTCGTCGGTCTTGGGCCCCATTTTGCAGGTGCCAACTTGATGGCCCAAAGTTGTGGAGACGTGGCGAATCGAACACCTCCAATATTCGTCCGTTGCGAATGGGAGGCTTTCACAACCTGGGAATGGTATTGGGTTCAGTCGGGCGTTGTATTTTTGGAAATACTTGGTTTTTGTCATCGCTATTGCCTGGAATTAGAAAAGGAGTCAATCCATAGAGTCAATCCAAATGAAAACACCAAAAATGAATTTAAAAGTGCTGCATGATTTTTTATTTTAATGAAAAAATTTGAGGATGATCTTTTAGATATCATATATGAAAAACCGTTGCACCCTTTAGAAACCTGAAATCGTGTCATTTCTTACTCTCTTATAAGAGGCTAAAACATTTTTTCTGTGGCAATTATTGAAATGATTATAATTTTATTTTACTGCCTAGTAAGTATGTTTTCAATATTAATTATTATTATCTAATTAGTTTTTCTCATAAACGAATGGTAAACAACTAAAGATTTGTAATAATTTGCCAATTTTTGTGATTTTTGTCTGGCTCCTGTGCCTATTCTGCTAAATCTAGAAAGTTGCTTTTTTCAGGTATCAAGTACTTATACAATAGAAAACGTAACTATTATTTTAGACTATCATTTTCTTTATTAAAAAAATTATTGAAACTTGATATTTTTTAAAATTAGCCTATTTTGCCCTCAGAAATCATTATGTCGAGGAAAAAATAAAAATCTTAAACTTTCAGGAAATGTAGTCCCCACCTTCATCTTTTCAGACTAGTTAGTCTTGTTTTGTTAATTGTATTAATTTTTTTAATGCAGTTAAGAAGCGATATTGTTAGTTTTATTTATAATTTAAAATTTAGATGGCTTTGACTTAGTCAATTCATGTTTGGTAGAGAAATATCAGAACTGTCAAAAATATTTCATAAATATTATTTGTGGGTATTTAAATTGTGATTTCAAAAAGTTTGCAAGTTCGCAAGTGTAATAAATATTGCAATTAAAAATGAAAGAACATATCATAATTTTGTACCTCTTTCTCATAGAAAATATTTAAGTTCTGAGAAGTTTTAAACTGTTAAAAAAAAGCAAAAACCAAAAAATATTCTAAATAAACCCCTTTATTATAATATGTTTTATTTTAACCAGTTACCTATAGTATTTACAGATTGTGTAAATTTTTTTCCAACACTAACATTTAAAATACATACATATAACTTTTAACTATTCAGTGCCTTACTAAAGGGATCAAAATAATAGAACAAGACTAACTTGGTTTAAATTGTGAAAGGAACCGACAAAAAACTGCTTAACGCATTTTTTATACGTTTAAATGAACTCTTTATTAATTTCACTTATTATACAAAATTTACCAAAGAAATACGCAAAAATAATATTTATAAAATATTTTTGAGAGTTCTGACACTTCTCCACCAAACATGAAAGCCATCTAAATTTTAAATTATAAATAAAACAATATTATATCGCTACTAAACGGGCATTAAAAAAATTAATATTTTTTTTAAAGGAATAAAAATAACAAAACAAGACTAACTGGACTGAAAAGATGAATGTGGGGACTACATTTCCTGAAAGTTTCAGATTTTTATTTTTTCCTCAACATAATGATTTCTGAGGGCAAAATTGACTAATTTTAAGAATTATCAAGTTTCAATAAGTTTTTTAATAAAGACAATGATAGTCTAGAAACTTAAAATAATAGTTACGTTTTCTATTCTATAAGTACTTGATACCTGAAAAAAAATAACTTTCTAGATTTGGTAGAATAGACACAGACAAAAATCACAAAAATTGGCAAATTATCATGAATTTTTAGTGGTTTACCATTCTGTTATGAGATTAACTAATTGGATAATAATAATTTATATCGAAAATACACTTACTGAACAGTAAAACAAAATTAAAATCATTTCAATATTTGTCACAGAAAAAAAGTTCTAGCCCACTAGAAGAGAGTAAGAAATTGACACGATTTCAGATTTCTAAAGAATCAAAAAATTAAAACGCCAAGGGATTTTCATATTTGATACCCCATTTGGTGTTTTTATTTGGAATGAAAACGCCGAAACTCGTTGCTCGACCATCTTGGATTTTGACCAAATTTTATAGAAATATTCATTAGGACAAAATCCACCCTTATTTAATTTTTCGCATGTGTCAAATCCAGCCTATTTCAATTAAGACTTTTTAAAAACGTCATTTTTATTTTTTAATAATTTAAGCTGTAATTTAATTTCTATTAAAGATATTTTAAATTTTAAGATGTTTAAAGCTAAAAAATAGTAGTTTTTATAAAAAAAATATAAATTCACTCAATTAATATTTCTAAATAATTACACTGTGCTGAAAAAACGTGTATTTTACAAATTTTTCGTGTTTTTTAAATGCGTACGCATTTTTTAAACAGACATGGGACGTCCCATGTCTCGGCTGTTAACAGTATGTTTAGTCCTTACCTTGAAAATGAAATGCCTGTTTGACTTGTTTTGATATTCTCATCCATTTTGCTTATACATGGGCTTTCAAAAAGGCTAACACATGGAAAATTAAAAAACGATTCATTTTATCCTTAAATCATATAAATGTTAACTTCTAAATAGAAATATAAAATTTAGTCCTTATCACAAAGTTTAAAAGCTTGTATAGCTCATTTTGCTTTTTTTTTGTGATTGTACAGATGCTTTAAAAGTAGCAAAAAATAATAAAATTAAAAAAAATCGCATAAGTTATATGCATATACTCTCTAAAAATTAATTAGTCAAAAATGACTAATTTAATAGTTATTAGTGGCTGCTTTTTCACTTGTACCATGGTTAACCATGGAATACCATGGTTTCCCAAAATTTAACAGCCAATTCTTATGTAAAATTGTTCCCTGAATACGAAGATGTCGTCAAAAGTAAAAAAAAGAACAGTTTTTGATATATAGTCAATTTTCCATTTAATATGGAATTGACAATATCTCAAAAACTGCTCCACTTTCATAATTTTTGACGGTATTTTCGGATTCAGGGGACAATTTTACATAGGAATTGGCTGTTAAATTTTGGGATACTATGGTATTCCATGGTTAACCATGGTACGAGTGAAAAAGCAGTCACTAATAACTATTTCGATTTTCTAGAATTTCAAAATATCAAGCAATTTTTTTGTTTAGAAACCGTATGCCAAATGGGCCAATTGTAAGTTTTATTTTGTCTTTGTTATTAAACAGCCAAGACATGGGACGCATTTAACAAACACGAAAAAATAGTAAAATACACGTTTTTTTAGCACCGTGTAACTATTTAGAAATATTGATTGAGAGAATTTATATTTTTTTATAAAAACTACTATATTTTAGCTTTAAAATGACATCTTAAAAAAAACAGCTTAAATTATTAAAGCATAAAAATTACGTTTTTAAAAAATGTTAATTCGAATAGGCCGGATTTGACACATGCGAAAAATTAAATAAGGGTGGATTTTGTCCTATGGGAAAAAATTGAGCAAAATCCAAGATGGTCGAGCAACGAGTTTCGACGTTTTCATATGGATTGACTCAGAGAAGTTGTTTTGTCATATCACGTTTTTTTCCTTAGAACTGTTACCCTTTAAAACTAATTATTCAAACAAAACATGAGAGTCTAATGAAAAAATCGTGTTTTTTTTTAAATGATGTTAGTTAACCAGTCGTCTTGCAATTAAATTCAATTATGGTATTATTTTTCATGGTCCAACAATTAATCTTTATTCAATGCAAATTTCATGGACTGTTGCACCAAATACCCAACGAATTGCGTTTTAGACTTCACCTTTACCCAGTGCTCTTGAAAAATATTAACATAAAAATGAAACTTTGGTTCTTGTGGAGCCTACTTCAATATACCCATTAAAACAAACAAAAGTGAAAGCAGTGTTTTTCACGAAAGTAAAGTATCCCATGGTTAACAACTTTGGCAGTAATGTTTTTACTTTACCTCTGTTAACCTTAATTTTCATTTAATATTACCAAATTGAGAAAATCATGTCGATTCCCTTGTGGGAATGTTTCTCTGAGAAGATTTTAATAAGAGTCTTACTTTCTCTTAAAAAGTCTGAATAAGACATTAAGTCGGAAAAAGTCTTAATAAGTCTTAGTAAGTCCGACTAATGGCAAGATTGGGAAGTCTTCTGGAAGAGTTAATAAGACTTTTTAATACTTAATAAGACTTTTAGCAGAGAAATGGTAGGTACCTAAAGCGATTAAAATAAATTTCCGGAATTATTCAGAGATGTTGTATTTGGTTATTGCAAGCTGGATAAGAAAAACTACCACATTTTCAAATATCATATTATACTGTCTTTTAAATAATCCAAAATACTTATTTAATTTGGTCAAAATTAATTTTTCTAACCTTAAAATTACAAAATTGGATGATATTTTTGTTATGATATATTAACCTACCTACAGATATTTTTATTCCATAATAGAGAAGCTAGATTTTTTTAATAAATGCTGTTTAGTTAAAATTATTTTATGGAGAAAACCAGATATTTGGACTAAATGCACAAAAATATTACTTATTTGGCACCATACAGAATTTCATTATATGCAGTATTTATATTCTTAAATTCTTAAACCATCCATTGTTATTGTAATGTTATAAAGATTTATACATTTTTAAAGCCTAAACATAATATTATTTCTTTCGTTGACTATACTTTGACAAATGCCAAATTTTTAAAAGACTGCGTTCCGTACGTGGTCACGTGGTGGGACTTTGAGGTGTGGAGCATAGTACAGTGGCAACAATAAAAGCAAGTCCAGCGCATCGTATGTAAAAAATTATAACTGTTATAATTATTACACCTAACATATTATGTTATTAGGTAATTATGCAATAAACTTGGCTTATTACCACCCCGGCAAAGTGTTAATAAATACTTTTCTTTGTGTTTTTTTTATAATAATCAAATACAACCTCTCTGAATAATTCCGGATATTTATTTTAATCGCTATAGTTAGGTTCCTACCATTTCTCTGCTAAAAGTCTTATAAAGTCTTATAACTCTTCTAGAAGATTCCCAAATCTTGCTATTAGTCTGACTTACTAAGACTTATTCAGACTTAATAAATATTATTCAGACTTTTTAACTTTTTAACTATTAAAAATTTTTCAGAGAAAAAATTCCTCAAGAGTTCAATCTTTGCATACAAGAACTGTTGTAATGACGTTATAGTACTTGCCATTTTTATCCCTTCGACCATAGTGTCAACATCTTCCTCTTCTTGGAAATAATTCGGTCGGAAAATGGGCCAGTGCAAAGCATTGGAATCCTTGATCAAAACACGTCCTTTACTTTTGGGCCTTAATAGAACAGTAGCAATACTGAAAGAGGGTGTTCCCAAATGTGGAAGGTAAACCCTGTTAAACAAACTATTCGGGATGCCTAGAAGATTTCTAAGACTCCCGTAGACGTCCCCGTTTAAACCCCCCGCCCCCAAAACCAGCTCTATGTCGGGGTAGTCACTTGTGTTGTTGTATTTGGTTTGTACGAAGCCGTAGCCCAAAGCTCCCCCAGGGATTGTATACGGACCCTTCCCATTGATGATGTAATCATAGATAAAACGGGGCCGTTGCATTTCTAAATCGGATATTGTTATGGATTCGTTCACAAGAAAAACTAAGGTGGACATGGCCATGTGGTCTTGCAGGTTGTAGCCCACTTTTAAATCCTGTATTGTGGGGATGCCAGCCCTTTCTAGATCTTCCTTGGGACCCACTCCCGATAGCATCAATAAATGTGGGCTGTTTATCGAACCAGCAGATAAAATAACCTCCTTTTTTGCGAGAATTCTATATTTCTTCTTGTTCTTTAAAAACTCCACTCCATAGGCTTGTTTTGTAGCAGGATCAATCAATATTTTCGTCACACGCGATTCTATAGACACGTGCAGGTTGGATCTGTGTAATATGGGCTTCAAAAACGCCTTTGAAGCGCTACAACGCCTCCCTCCCTTCATGGTAGCCTGGGCTTTGGAAAAACCCAAACCATCGCCACCGTTTATGTCGACATTCTTATACCTCATACTTTCGGCAGATTCCAGGAAAGCCTTCAATATGGGACTGTTATAACTGGAATGTTCCACGTTCAAGTATCCATCAAACCCATGATAATCTCTATCGATATCATCGCATAGAGTACAATTTTCCGACTTGATGAAGTATGGCAACACCTCCTCGTACCCCCACCCAGGATTCCCCATATTCTCCCATTGGTCAAAATCCAACCTATTCCCTCTAGTATACAGAAGAAAATTTATAATCGACGTTCCACCCAAACCTTTACCCCGCGGTATGTTGCATTTTGACCCCACCAGGCCCAAGCATGCCGTCCTCATTTTTTCGCTTTTGTACCCCCAGTTGTAAGAGGTTACAGTCTGCAATGCGGCCAGCAGAGGGACGTCGGTAAGGAAGATTTCGTCTTTGCCGGCTTCCAGCAGCAGTACGGACCAATCGGGGTGTTCTGATAGCCTGTTGGCCACCACTGACCCCCCAGAACCTAAAAGAGGCCAACTATAGAATTCTGTACTACCCAAAAGGGACTTAAACTAAAAAACTGCATATTTGATTGGATTCAAAATTAAAATCAGTCTCGGTACGTTAAAAATATGTTTAACCCGAACCCTGATAGCACAGTTTATTCTAAGAATGTTTTTTAAACCTTCCAGTGGGAATATTCTTAGGATCATGCAATATTTCTTCTAAAGAACATGCTTAAAAGACATATAGCATGATCCTAAGAATATTCTTACTGGCCTATAGGCAGGTTCTTAGAAGGTGCAAAGTTTTAGTGGTAAAAATTAGTCTACTCATTTAACATTTGCTTAGAATGTTAAGAAAGTAATTGCTATAGAAAGTTCACTTAGGAATATTCCTGTTAAGCATATTTAGTTCAGTTACCTATATTATAGTAAAATATACCATAAACTACGTATAAAGGTAGTAAACCTATACTTAAGTACCTAATTAGTAATTAGTATTAAATACTAAGTAAAAATCACAATTCAAAATATTTTTTTATAGTTATTTGTAAAATTAAAATAATATTCGAGAAAAATACTTTTAGGTACTATAGGTATTTTATTTTATGTTAAAAATAGTGGATTATGTCATAAGGAGGAGAAGTGACTCTTTTTGTGGTGAGTACAGAGATTGACGGCCGAAGCGTAGCTGAGGCAGGCAACTGTACGAAGCACAAAAAGAGCTTCTACACCAAATAACATATACTATTTTTTTTTCTAGGGCGTAATATAAATATAATAAGCAAAATTTACATTAAATGTACAATTACACGCACTGCAGCTCTTCAATAAAATCATGTGGGATAAAATTTTGGCTAAAAGCATTAGAAATTATTGATAAAAACTAAAAAAACTTATAACCCTTACTTACAATGCCGATAAATATCCTAAACTAAAACTAAACACAGCTCTGTCAAAATGCTGCGCTTGAATTAATTTTGACGTACTGACATTTGTTTGAAATTCCGACATTGGCGACTCGTCTATCATCATAATATTATACTAATAAACTAGTTGTTCTTTATTTCGTTCAATTAAAATTTAATAAATAATCACTAAATATTCCGTGCGATTATAATTAATATAATTAATACATCGTGATTGCTTAGTATGAAATGCTAAATTAATTTTATTATTTGACGTCTATTGAGTCACCTATGGATTTACTTCTATCCCTAGGCTTTTTTGAGTTTTTTGTCTGCCGCTAATGAAAAAGACGCACTTCAACTATCTCTATACATGCATATAAGGTTGTATATCATGGCCGCTTGAAAAAAATAAATATTTATTAATTTGTATACCGATTTTTTATTTCTGAATTAACATTTTTATGTATAATAATCCTAACTATCTTCAACTTGACTTATCCCTCAAAATTTTCCAATTTTACCTTTTATGAAATAATGTCATACAACTTATGGTTTAGAGGTCAAATTGTTTATTTAATATTTTTAAATAAATATATATTAATAGGTCGCAAAATTTTTTAAGGGGACTACAAATACATTTCACTGTCATATTATGACAGTGAGGCGTATTTGTCGCCTCCTGAAGAATTTTACGAATGTAGAATCCAACATATTAGAACGTGGGTATCTGACATATTTGGAAATATTCTCAAAAGCTTCCTAGAAGCTCCATAATAAACCTTCTAAGAACATTCCAAAAACGTATTCTTAAAATGTTCTTAGAATGCTTTTTAGGAAGGTTTTAAGAAGCTTCTAAGAATCTAATTGCATCATTAAAAGGGTATCTATTGAATGTTTTAAAAGTCCCTAAGAACATTCTTAGCAATAAGAGAATATTCCATTATTCCGGGTCATATCTTCTTAGAAGATTCTTAGAATCAAATTGCTATCAGGGTCCCTTCCAGGATATTTTATTAAAAAATTTTAGTATATTTTATTGTAGTGAAGCAATTAATTTAAAATAGGTAACTAAAATCATAATAATTCAAAAATAAATATTTTTTTATAAATAAGTTAATTTACCGTACTCCTCAAAAGTGGATCCAAGTAAAAAATATCGATGTTAATAATTACTGTTTGAAATATGTTTTTTTTTGAACTTGCAAACAATGCAAAATTAAATTTTATTAAGTTTAATCAAGACTTAATTAAACTTTGGTAAAATTAAGTTTTAAGTTGGCAACAGGTTTTTAGTCACGGGCTGAAGTTAGTTTTAAGTTAGTTGACAGTTGTTAAATGTCAATAAAATGTTTTTCTTGTAAAATAATACTAAATATGAAAATTATTTTATTATCTCAATATTTGAAAAGTTTATATGAACATTGTACTGACCTTTTAATTTCGCCGGAAGTAAACTAAATATAACTTAAATTCGGGCTCGGACTCCACTGTGTGTGCTCATAAAACATTTTCTTTACTTTCACTGTGAAAAACTGTCGTTAATCCATTTATAAGGAATACATTTCGATTTTTAAGCTTTATAATCTGTGTTTATAACACATACAAATTTGACATTTGACGGTAACACAGATTGTTTTATAGATGGCTCTCTATACAAATATTTGATTTAAATCATTTTAAGATAATAATAAGTATTTGTCGTAGAAAAAGTATAGTATGCAACTCGTTTATAAGCTTTTCTAGAAAAATGGCGTTTATCAAACTTGATACATAATGTACTATTACGTATACTTTATAAAGTTAATAGTAGTTCATTAAAAACGAGTTTAAAATTAATAATAAAAAATATTAATTTTTATATTTTTACTTAAAATGAAGTTTGTGAAATACAGTCCTGATAAATTATATTTTTGCTAAAGAAAAAAAAATAATTTATTGGGGTATATTATAATTTAGGTGGTTTATAAATACATAGTTTTCACCAAAATAAAATATACTAAAATTTAAAGTTTTTAGAGGCAAAACAAGAAAAATATTTAAAATATGTAAAAAAAAATCAAAAATGTCTAGTATTTCAATGTATACGTATACAGTGGACAGTTATGTCTAGCTTAAGTTGCCTTAATGTCAACTTAAGCTGGGTATAAAATTTATATTATAAACAAATGGCTCATTACCTGCTCCAATAACAATAAAATCATATTCCTTTTTAAGATTCACTGAAGGATCAACTGGCGGGCTATTATTTAAATTAAAAATCCTCCTAAACTGTTCTAGAGTGCTCTGAAGTTGACAGGAACAACTTACAAAACAAAAAAACAACACACATATCGTTCTCATTTTCCACAAAACGCAACATCAATCTTTAAACGTTGACCGATTATTTTGCCAAATTTTTTTGTCCGATATTTTAAAATTTAATATAACCTTGTTGGACCAGATCCCACCAAATCTTGCTCATTGCAGTAACCATTTAATTATCACACTGTACGATTTAAGTTAAGGCGCGAGCTAGTTGGCTTTAAATATATACGAGGTATGTTCAGAAAATATCGGGAATTTTCGTTTTTTGAAACAAATATTTATTTATTTGTCTACATTAATGTTGTCGCCTTCAAAATAGTCCCCATTGGATATTATGCACATGTGCCAGCTCTTCTTCCAATACTCGAAACACTTCTAAAACTCGATCTTTGGGATAGCCCTTAGTTCTTTCAGCGATGCGCTTTTAATGTCATCTATGCTTGCAAAACGACGGTCCTTTAAGGTTCTCTTTATTTTTGGAAATAGGAAAAAGTCAGACAGAGGCATGTCTGGCGAATATGGAGGCTGGGGCATCATTACAGTATTGTTTTTGGCCAAAGATTTTGTTCAAAATTTAACAATTTTATAACAAATTTTGTTGCCACGCGTTTCATACCCAAAACATTTGAAAAAATTTCATAGGATGAGCCAATCGATATACCAACATCATCAGCGGCTTCTCTGATGGTTTATAACCATTTCTTACACTTTTTCCATGTTTTTATCGCTTGTTAATGTGCTTGTGCGTTCGGGGCGTTCGTCATCTTCAACGTCTTCACGGCCATCTTGGAAACTTTTATACCACTTGTAAACTCTTGTTTTACTTATAGCAGACACACTAGAGGCCTTTGTTAACATTTCACAGAATTTATTTCATTTTTTAAGCAAAATTGGATACAAATTCTTTGATCCATTTCTTTTAACGAACGAAAAATCGCCGAGCTCATAAAACACGTCTAACCTTAGCGGCTGCCACAGACAAAGTAAACAATGAAAACAGCTAAAGTTTTTATCATACTTCGGGGGCATGTATACCAACATAATAAAGAAAGTTTTATGACAACCGGACCCTCTGAACCCGCGTAATTTAACAATTCCCGTTATTTTCTGAACACACCTCGTATTAAATAGGCAAAATACCGGGTTATACAAAAGTACTTTGATGAAGTTTTAGAAAGTATTCCCCTATGAAAAATAGGGTTCAATATTACAGTGAATGTTGGTTGGTATATTTAATAGACAATTGTGCATTATTTTTATTAAATATTCAGGGTTCCAACCAGTTGCGTACCTGAAAATTCAGGGCCCCGTCCGCTAAAATCTCATTGGGGCCCCCATTTTTAATTTATCAATATAAAAAAGGGCTAAAGAAGCTCTGTAACACAAAGGACGTTGTTGACCTACTTTAATCATAAGATCGACATTTAAATGATTTACCTAAACGTAAACAATTAAAACATTGAATAGGGCCGTATTAAGAGCATTTAGCTTTTATTTATTTAATATCAATCAATATTTATTTAACAAACCATTTACAGACTCAATAATTTAACATTTTTATTTTATAGACTGTAGGTTTTAAAATATTAATTAACAAAATATATATTTTTTATATTACGAAAAAATTTAATGGGAAGTTTTATTATTTGAATTTTTTTTCTATTTTACTTATTCTAATATACATGTATGTATTCATATGGGTGATTCTACAAAAGTTGAGTAACTTTTGACCTCATTTTGTTTATATAGTTTTCGGAGAAAATTAAACAGTATTTTGTTTTGAGAACAGATAATATAATAAATATACTGTTCCAGACCGGGCCAGTCACTTTTTCAAACAGTTTCTGAAATATCTGTGTTTTCTAAATTTGAATGCAAGGGAAGTATACCAGGGTAATAATTAAATACATAACTTATTGGAAAATATAAGATTTATTGTATATTATACATTAAATATCTTAAAATCAAATAATACCACACATCAGGGGCGGCAGGTGGATTTTGGGTATACCGATATCTCAAAAAAGATAACCGAAACATCGAACATGGAACTGACGACACGGTACTGATGAATGGGATACAAATTTGAGATTATAATTCGGAATTAAGTATTTTACTGATATTTTTTATTAGTGGATGCTACTTAACAACAAATCACATATAGCCTTATAGAAATTATAATGAAATATATATACTTAAGAAAATAACTACTCACCACAGTACTGAAATTTTGACTGGAACTATCCGTGCATTCACCACAACTTCGCCGCTTGTATTTTTTTCAAGATGACTTTCGTGCAAAGGGCGGGCTCTGTAGGTAATTTTTTACCAACATTTGAGTTAAAATAAAACGAGGACTTGACGTTTAAACTTTAATATTTTGCAGGAATTTTGAATTTTAATCTTCTACACAGAACTGTCGGGTAAAAGTGAGTACAAAGATTATCAATTTTTTAAAAATTGCTATTATTCGAATCTATGATAAAATATGAAAAATTTTTTGTTTTATAGTTTATAGTAAATAAATAATTCGAAATTTTTTCGAATTATTCGTAAACTAAATAGCTATTACAATATTAGCGAATTTTCGAGTATTTTGAATTCAGGGTTTCTTATGTTCAATATTCAAATATGAATTTAACAGTCAATATACATTTTATTCAAACCATGAAATATAGTTACACAAATAAAACAATAAGTCTGTGGGTAAAAGGCATAAGGGGATAAGTCAAAAAAAGAAATTTTTCAGTAGAGCCTTAAACGTATTCGCATTAATTCAGGAAACATATTTATGGTTAGCGGGTATACCCTTTTGTTAGCACATGTCATATGCTAACAAAAGCGTATACCCGCTATACATAAATATATTTCCTGAATTAATGCGAACACGTTAAAGGCTCTATTGAAAAATTGTTTTTTTTGACTTATCCCCTTATGCCTTTCACCCACAGAAGTATAGTTTTTTTTGAAAGAGAATGAAATTACAGAAATTATATCGTAGCAAATACAGTATTATGAAAAATACAACATTTGAAAATTTGCTACAAATTTTCGAATTATTCGAAATTTTTCGAATTATTCGTAGAATTTCGAATAATTCGAAAATTCAAATTATTCGATTCGAATTTCCTATGTTAGATTGTTATAAAGGGTGTTCAAAATGAGAGGTCCCGAAATGACAGGTGCCTAAATAACAGCTGTCAAAATTACAGGTGCCAAAATAACGGCTGTAAAATGACAGATGCCAAAATGACGGATTCCAAAATGACAGGTGTCAAAATGACGACTGGCTAAATGACAGCTGTCAAAATACCAGGTGCCAAAATAGCAAGTGTAAAAATGACAGGTGCCAAACTAACAACTGTCAAAATGACAGGTAACAAAATTACAAGCGCTAAAATAATAGCTGTCAAAATAAAAATCGCGAAAATGACAGCCGTCAAAATGACAGGAGCCTAAATGACAGCTGTAAAAATGAAAGATGTCCAATAATGATCGATATTTTGTTTTCCAATGTGACTTTTTTTTGCACAGGTTGATCTATCACTTTTTAAACAGAAAGGTCACTTTTCATTCGGGTTTTGCCTTGCAAATGAAAATATTTAATTTCTTAGGAACGACGCCATACGAATTTTTTTTAATTTGATTGTTGGCAAAAAAATAATTATCAAAATAATAATACAAAAAGTACATACAGCACAAGCAAATAGTCTAAGGGCAGTTTGCTCCGAAAAATTGGTTTTAACTGCTTCCATAAAATATACTTTAAAAAGCGTATGGTTTTAAAAGTAGGTTTTGTTGTGTCTTTCTATTAAGTAATAGGGTTTTAAGAAGACCTTTGTTATAATTCTTATAAACCTAAACATCTTTTTTAAGAGTGTGATAAAGCTTATTAAGATAAAAGCCATATTTTCATTATTAAAAAAATATGTACCTATTTTATTTTTATTATGTGTTATTGTTATACACTGTAATGAAAAATATGCATTCGGAGTTGCCTACATTAATGATTCACCTTGTTTTTTAATATTATTATTAACAAAATAAACATAAACTTCTTCTGTTGTTTTTTTAATAATATTTGTCATTGCTATTTATGTACTTAACAAGTAGTCTAAACATATGTTAACATATTATAAATTTGCCAAATTATTGACAAATCGAAAATAAAAAATGAGTGATACATCATACTATGAGCCTACGTTTAGTGAAGACGAAAGATATGGTAAGAATTTACTTCTTTTTCATAAATATGTCGTAGATTACGGTCAAGGTTGAGTTATGAATAAAAATTGAGAAATTCCTACTCAATCGCAAAGACCATTTATTTGTTCTAGAAGCGATGATCAAAGAAAAAAGAAGGCTAATCGAAAGAAATACTTTTATAAAAGAAGAAAAGCGTGTGCTGGAGTTCAAAAAAATTGAAACCTATTTGGAAAGACTTGATTGTCCTGCTTTAACATTTTTGGAGTTCAACAGCCTCAAAATTAAATTTTTTATCTATCCTTCAAAATTAAATGACTTCATCAGCGAAAGAACACGTTTTTTTGCTTATATAAGGTTTAGTAGGCGATACCAAAAATGGATTTTGAAGAAGTACTCGTTACCAATGGGGAGGCACAAACAACAAATTTTCGATTTATTTTATGATGGTAACAAATTTGCTGTGACAGATGAATATATTTTGGATTTGATCACCAACATCGACAAAATTATTCTGGATTGGGCGGAACTTGAGAAAAAATATCGTGAAAGGAAAATTGAAGTGAGTTAATTTCAATTTTTTTCACCTGTTGTATGATTTGATTGCACAATTCTCAATAAGCACATAACTTTATATCCATCGCCAGTGGTTTCTTAAATTTGTCTTTAAAACGTTTGTTATAACAAACTAAAGCCGGGTCTACAATTGTCGCAGAACGCAGATCGCAGAACGTAAGCATGCGCAAAGCACCCAGCGAAGTTGCGATGGAGCAAGGTCACACGTCGCAGAAAGTTAATTCATCTTCAATAACGTCTTTCGCAGGCTTTTATGTTAGCCAATCATAGAGCGCTAGAATCTATCTGTCTCTGTGCTCTCTTTCTTTCAATAATCAATACTTTTATTTAGTTCCTTTTCCTATTTCGCGGTTATTTTTAAATTTTTGGTGTAATTCTCAGAAATTATTCGAAAAACGTAATTGTCCAAATTTAAAATAATTTTCAATATTTTCTAAAGACCATTTAAATAAATGTAGGTAAGTATATTCTTATTCCTATTGAATATTCATACCTATATTGATTTAAATAGGTAGTTTTTAGGAAATATCGAAAATCATTTAGAATTTTCAAATTTTGATCAAAATAATTATTTAAAATTTTAAATAATATTAACTAATTCTATGATAATCTAAACAATTTTTCCAATATTTGTTTATATTTGGTGTGAAATACTCAACCCAGTGTCACCAACACTTTACTTTTTATTCCCTAAAAATTTGCATTTTTTCATTTATATTATATATATAATATACAAATATAATTATATATAAACTCTTAAACATTTTTTACCTAAAAATAAACCCCAAGCAGTTTTTTAGAGATAGGGATCCATCCATATCTCTGTTTTTTTTCACTAAATTTAGGGAAAACACTTCTACGTTGGCCACACTGTGGTTATAAAGAAAACAATTGCTCTGATTGGTCAATAAAAGCACATCGCGCGACAATTGTAGACAGCTCACATAACAACGACGTGTGACCTTGCTCCATCGCAACGTGGATGGGTGCTTTGCGCATGCTTACGTTCTGCGATCTGCGTTCTGCGACAATTGTAGACCCGGCTTAAAAGAAATACTAGAGTTAATAATTAATAAATATTTATTTGAGACGTTTTTATTTATAATAAATACAGCAAATTTGCTATAAATCAATTTTATTTACAACAATATATTCTGAAATTTAATTTTTTTTTTATAAAAAAATTAATTATTTGGGTCGAATTTATTTGTTATTAATATACTAAATTTGTGTCAAATAAAATCATTTATTAATTTATTGTAAATATACGTTATATTCGTATTTAGTTGACAGTTTATTAATAATAAATATTGTTTATTAATAGTTACCAAATTTTCATTTCGTAAATAGTGATTATTATCACATTTTCTAACTATTAAATTATATTGTTTGTAAGAAATATGATATATTAATAATTAACAAATGGAATATCGTAACGCGTCGTTTTACCTCGGACGATTCACTTCACTTTAAAATGTCACGTAGTGGGTGGTTTACATCTTTGCTGATAAATGTGGTGGTGGTTTGTGCTCTGTGTGCTTTTGCATTATTTTTCATACAATAAGGAAATTTGTATTGCGTATAAACTGTTGCAGTGATTGTGTAAGTACATGCATATGCATAATAATATTTTTCTATGCTGTTGAATGCTAACAAAACAAAAATAGGTCCTTAAACATGGATGTTGACATGGACATAATAGATTCTAAACTGTTATACGAATTCATGATACGAATTAGAAGATCTGGCTAATACTTTTAAAGGTAAGTTTATGAGTTATTAAAAAAAATAATAATTGATGCCTTGTTATTTCGTTAAGTACCTATTGACTGAATTTTGTCGCAGTTTGTTTCAAGATGTTTCCACGTGTTGACTATCCCATGGGATGCATTAATAATAAATAAAGTATATTTATTATAAATTCACTTGTTAATTATTAATCAGATGACTTTAAAGAAAATCAGGTTATATTTATTATTAACAAATTTTTTCAAACAATGGAGTGGATTCTTTTAAACTTTAAAATTTAAAGTATTAGCAGATATCGCCTTTGACAATGCTATGAATATAGTTTTAAAGATTATATTATTATTATACTATAGATATATATATATATCTTTATTTTTTTTAAGTTTATTTATGTTTTTTAAATAATAGGTCTATGAATATAATTTAAAAGTTTTAAAATATTGGATTTTATAAAATATATAAATATATATACTTTGCTTTCTTAATAAAATCATCTTAAAAAAACAAGTATTTTATTTTAAAAATCACCCAAATTGAAGCACATTTCATACCAACATATCGTGGTCAACCTCACAAAGTGATTTATAATTTTACTGGAGAAGATTTTTGCAATATTCAGGTTAACAAGTTTTATGATTAATAGTAAATAATTAAGACAGAACTGTATTTGTATTAAATATGCAGTGGCGGATTTACCAGCAGGCTGAGTAGGCTCGAGCCTAGGGCGGCAGATTTTGGGGGCGGCAAATTTGGGGAACGATTTTTTTTTACCTAGAAATCAAAAAGATTTTTCTATGACGGTTTTCTGATGTCTTACAGATAGAAGTCTGCAACAAATTTTGTCGATGACTTTTCTCTCTCACTTGTCATTGCACATTCCGAGAGTAGCAAACTTTCATATTCTAGAGTAAAACAGCTAGTTCGCCGCCCCTCAACCAGTAATCGGCCTCTCGCCTCTGCGCCCTTTGCCCACACTTCTTATGAGTGAAAAGAGCGAAATTGTAAAATATATGACTGAGTCGATTATTTTTAACTGTTTGAAAGCGCAATAAAGATTATTTATTCACGTTTACCAAATGTTCATTATTGTGTAAATAGCATACAATACCCCGCCCATACATGAATGAGCTTAGATTAGCTCAAAAATATACCGAAAACTTATTTTACGTGCAATTTCAACGAAATTGTTGCATTGTAAAAATAATGTATGATATGACAATTGTTGAGGCAAGGGCGGCAAAAACTATTCAGCCTATACCTTGAAAATGTGTAAATCCGCCACTGTAAATATGTATATATTTACAATAAATTTAGCATACCTATAGTCGTCAATCTAACAATCCCATTTTTATAATTTTACAGAGCATTTTGAAAATTACTGCAATATTCGGTTTAACAAAATACTTCGATTAACATATAAAACTACAGATATAAACCATAATAATTTTATAAGTTTATTTTATACTATATATAGTAAAAATAAACTTATAAAATTACTATAGTATATTTTTATACATATGTATAATATACATTGTATATGCTCTCTTGTAAAATTATAAAGAAAATACGTCCCTTTGTGAGATTGACAAGGATATGCCATATTTATTGCAAATATAAACATATTTTTTTAAAATACAGTTATATGCTAATTATTAATTATTAATAATGAAATTTGTTAATTATAAATAAACTAATTTATAAAAAATAACTCAAAATTAAAATTAAATTTATTAATGTTAATAATTACTTCCCGGGTTATTTATAATCAATTTAGTTTATTTATAATAAATAAGATGTTTGTCACTTTAAATAACAATTTGTTTTTTAAAAATATCTGTTTGTTAATTTTTAATAAATAATTTAACTAATAATTAAAATGGCATAATTATAATAAATAAGGGTTTGGTTGTTTTTAATGCAATTTTATTTCTCACAGATAAAGTATTTGTTTATAATAAATAAATATTTATTCCGCCATTACCGAATAAATCTTTTATTTATTGTTAAACAACATCATAAATTGTAAATAAACTGTTCTTTCAGTGAAATATGATAAAAAAAGTATACTTTTTTATCATATTTTCCTGAAATATCAGGTTAAAATCAATATTTTATCTCTTTGATTTTTTTTATAGAGATATAGAAATGGTGAATTGTGTTACCTAGATATGGATGACACTGATGAGGAATTATTTTTGGACATAAATGAAACAAAGGAAATAATGGTTAAAAAAGAATGTGTCTTGAGAAGAATGATGGTACCTGAAAACCTCGATGAATAGTGTTATATTATATATTGTTAAAAGTGTTATATTATGTATTGTGTTATATTATATATTATTTATTTATTACTTACTATATACAGGGTGTTTCACATTCGTGGTCCATTGGATGTTTCTTTGTTACTTTAAATAAAACACTCCATATATTTTGGCATATATACTTAGGCATTTAATTATAATAATTATTATTTGTACTAAATAAATATAATTTATATAAGTGCTTCCAATATAAGTGATATCAAACAGTAAAGCTGCTTATTAATAAAATATGTCTATATTTAAAAGTATTAAAATTATTTGCCTTTTAAACCTAATCTTGGGGAATTCCCCAGTTAAAATTGACGAAATAGCTTCGAAAATTATAAGAAATCGTAAATATAGAGTGATTTGTTTTATTAATTTAAGTATAACAATTTTGGTGAATGTTTCAATACATTTTTGCTGCAGAAAATATTTATTGAATACTTTTACACAGACTTGTAAAGTTTTATTGCAAATTTTGGCCCCAATTTTTGGCCAAATCAACTTGCATTGCTACGAGAAAGCTTTAATCGAAGTTATTTACAAGTTAGAAAATTTTGAGAGGTTCTTGGGTTTACAATCCAACAGAAAGTTTATGTTTTTTTTGGTGGCAAAATGTATTTTTTATTCCTGGGTATTCATACAAGAAATCCTCAGTATTTTTATCTACGACTTCAGAAAACCATGGTATTGTGCATATTATTATCTTATTTCAGATATTATATTTTTGTTCAACCAACTTCTTATAATATTCATACTTACCGATATAAATAATAAAATACATTTTCTGAACAAAATATCCTGTAGGAAAATCAACACAAGTTTATCGCTTCAAAAATTAATAAAGCTAAGATTCTTCTTGAAGAATTGTTTTAAGATATCCAACAATTTTTGTGGTATTCCATTTTTAATATCAGTGACGTGGATGTATTTATCAAACCTTATATCATTGGACAATTTGATGAACACCAACTGGTCGAGTATTTCAAAGGTGCAATGCATTTCTATTATACACAGCCTCCTTGGTTGGGTGTTATACACAGTTTTGGATTTTTCGATTATTTTATATTGCACACAAAATTTAATATTTAAAGTAAGTATACATTTTTTTCTACAATTGTGGACAAAAGCATTAGAGTCAATCCATATGAAAACGCCTGGTAGTTTGGTTTTGTTATTTTCATCTTTGAAGCTTATACAGTAGAAAGGAGAAAAATATTGAAATATTAAAAAGTCGCATTATTTCATCCATTTTATAAATATGTACAATTAGAAATATGAAATTAAGAGGATATTAAGTCCTTACCTTGAAGTTTAAATGCCTATTTAACTTGTTTTGATATTTTCTATTCTAAGAATGAGTGAACTTCAAGATAGGAACATGAAACTTACAGGATATTTAGTCCTTACTATGATGTTTAAATGCCTGTTTGGCTTATGCATCCATATGCATATTTATGTTATTAGCTTATATGCATATAACTTATGCGATTTTTTTAAATTTTATTATATTTTTGCTGCTTTTAAAGCATCTGTACCTACAATCACAAAAAAATAAAAATAAAGCAAAATGAGCTATACAAGCTTTTAAACTTTGTGATAAGGACAAAATTTCCTGTAAGTTTTATATTTCTACCTAGAAGTTAACATTTATATGATAAAGGATAAAATGATGCGTTTTTTAATTTTCCATGTGTTAGCCTTTTTTAAAGCCCTTGCAAAAGCAAAATGGATGAAAATATCAAAACAAGTCAAACAGGCATTTTATTGTCAAGGTAAGGACTAAACATCCTGTTAATGTCATATTTCTATATTAAAGTCAACATACTTATACTTTTGGGACACCCTGTATAATGGATATAATAATGCGACTCTTTATTATTTCAATATTTTTCTTCCTTTAAAGCTATTGTATAACCTTTAAAGATGAAAATAACAAAACCAAACTACCAGGCATTTGAACATTAAGGTAGGGGCTAATTATGAAAATATCAAAACAAGTCAAACAGGCATTTTATTTTTAAGGTAAGGACTAAACATCCTGTTAATGTCATATTTCTATATTAAAGTCAATAATGGATATAATAATGCGACTTTTTATTATTTCAATATTTTTCTTCCTTTAAAGCTATTGTATATCCTTCAAAGATGAAAATAAAAAAACCAAACTACCAGGCATTTGAACATTAAGGTAGGGGCTAATTATCCTGTAAATTTTATAATTATATTTGGAAGTCAACATCCTTTTATAATGGCCTAAATAATGTGATTTTCTGGAATATTAAAATTTCAATCAATTTTTTTGTTTGGAAACCGTATGCCAAACGGGTCAATTATAAGTTTTATTTTGTCTTTGGTATGTAAACCTAATATATGAAAAAAATTAGCTCTTCATATTAAACAGCCGAGACATGAGACGCATTTAAAAAACACGAAAAATTTGTAAAATACACGTTTTTTCAGCACCGTGTAATTATTTAGAAATATTGATTGAGTGAATTTATATTTTTTTATAAAAATTACTATTTTTAGCTTTAAAATGACATCTTAAAATTTTTTTTCTATTAAAGATATTTTAAATTTTAAGATGTCATTTTAAAGCTAAAAATAGTAATTTTTATAAAAAAAATATAAATTCACTCAATCAATATTTCTAAATAATTACTAATTAATAATTATAATTATTAAATTATTATTATTAATTATTAAAGCATAAAAATGACGTTTTTAAAAAGTTTTAATTCGATTAGGCCGGATTTGACACATGCGAAAAATAAATAAGGGTGGATTTTGTACTTTGGGACCCTAATGAATATTTCTATAAAATTTGAGCAAAATCCAAGATGGTCGAGCAACGAGTTTTGGCGTTTTCATATGGATTGACTCATTAAATTAAATTAAATTTTGTAATCTAATTTATTTTATTGCTTTATGTAGCTTAAATAGAATCCAACAAATAACATACTAAAAAATTTATATAAAAACTACACAAACAAATTATTTTAAGAGTTATACAGGGTGTCCGGAAACTACAACAATAACGCAATTTATTTTCAACAATTCTTATTTTAGTAAATTCACATATTTACAACGCGATTTTTCACAGATCTTCTAATCATGGGCGCCGGAAGGAATTCGTCTAGGGGGGGGCCTTAAAGTTTTTTACAATTTTGATAGATGTTATTTATAATCAAGTTGTACTGTAGAAGTTCACATTAAACTTAGGTCAAATAAAATATTATTTTTATATGTATATTTACATTTAATATATGTATATTTATATTTAAATCTAAATCCATAAATCCACACCATAAACTTGATATAAATCCTCAATCATAAATCCATTACGTTATCTGGATTTAAATCATAAATCCTAAATCCACTTGCAAAAAAGGATTTAAATCCTAAATCCATAAATAAATCCTCTATTTTTTAAATATTTATTTCATTAATTTTTTAAGAACAGTTTCCGGATTATTTCACTTTTTAAGTTTTATTTAAGCTAAAACCCCTTGGATTCCAAATCAAAATTGATATGAACCTTATTGCACGTATATAAGATTCCATCGAAGATCTTTGGAATATAAACATAATGACCCGGAAAACAATCGGGATTTCCTGGTGAAGTCATGATGATATCACAACGTGATTTTTTTTTTATCACGCTGTGATATCCTGAGTGCATACACATGCTTCATCACAGTGATATCATGTAGAACTCACGGTGTGATATTTGCAAAATTTGCGCATGCGTATTAGACCTGCGAACTGCGAATTAAAAAACCTACCCGGACAACATTTGTGATATTCATACGAACATCACGTCATGATTTTCACAAATTTTATTCATACTGATATCATACGTATATACGGAAGTCACCGCATAATAAATGAAAATCATACGAACGTCACGTCGTGATTTTCACAAATTTTGTTCATACGGACATCATCCGGATGTCACTGCGTGAGAAATGAAAATCATGTCGTGATTTTTTATGCCAACGGTGTTTGGATAATCATTTTTGCGCCACGTTCGTACACTAAGAGAAAAATTATGTTGAATCAACAGTTTTTGCGGTTAAATACATTTAATATTTTCTTGGATTTAAATTAACTACATATAATTAATTTAAATCCAAGAAAATATTGAATGTTAAACTGTTGATTCAATTGTTAACATACTTTTTCTTTCAATGTACGAATGTGTCGCAAAAATGAATATCCAAACTCCGATGGCATAAAAAAATCATGTCGTAATTTTTTATGCCATCGGTGTTTGGATATTTATTTTTGCGCCACATTCGTACATTGAGAGAAAAAGTATACCTACATATACCTATATTGAATCAACAGTTTTTGTAGTTAAATACATTCAATATTTTCTTGGATTTAAATTAACTATAATATAGTTAATTTAAATCCAAGAAAATATTTAATGTTTTTAACCGGAAAAACTGTTGATTCAACATAATTCTTCTCTTAGTGTACGAACGTGGCGCAAAAATGATTATCCAAACACCGTTGGCATAAAAAATCACGACATGATTTTTTAGGCCATCGGTCAATCGCAAACAGCGATGGCATAAAAATCACGACATGATTTTCATTTCTCACGCAGTGACATCCGGATGATGTCCGTATGAATAAAATTTGTGGAAATCACGACGTGACGTTCGTATGATTTTCATTTATCACGCGGTGACTTCCGTATGATATCAGTAAGAATAAAACTTGTGAAAATCACGACATGATGTTGGTATGAATATCACGAATGTTGTCCGTGGATCTGTGGCTTCTGGTTTCTTCGCCATAGGATTATGAACGAAATCAGTAAACTGTGCTTCTGATTTCTTTGAACAGCCAGCCATTTCATTCATTTTACAACTGTAACAACACTAGTGCTCATTAAGACGGCACAAATCTAAGTTAAATTATCTAAGATAACAAATCTAATTTATCTAAAAAATAATGAACAAATGATAACGATCAGCACTTACCGTCAAATTATGGAGTACCGGAATTTCTGAGTATGAATTTCCATGCTTCTAATGTTTTAGAAAAATCCAGGTTTATTTCTTACGGATTCACAAGCATTTACAACCCGTTGCATTAATGTTATGAATTGGGACTGCATACACCAGTGATTTTAAATATCCCCGCACAGAGAAGTCGAGTGGATATAAATCTGGAGAACGAGAAAGCCAAGGAATTGGTTTTCTCGTCCTACACGGAGAGAAATGTATA